CACATATACATGCCATGTCGTATTTTTGTGGTGCCCTGATTTTACAGCTTCATCGTTTTACCCATGATGAGGCTGAAGGTGCTCATAAGATGGACACGCGCGTTGAGATTAAACCTGGACAGGAGGTTGCCATACCAGTCTTCAGTAACCCAGGCTCCACCGTCACTACTATGATCAACTGTCGAGTGGCGTTCGTTGTTTATCATCTTGGGGCCACACCGCATACAGGTCACTATCAAACTGCGTTGTCAGTGCCTGGTCGATGTATTGGTTTTTCGAGTGGCTGGAAATTCATGATCTGCAATGACTCAATCAAACCTCGTCTCGCTTCTGCTCACGATCACCGTGATATTGCTTGCAATGGTTACCTCGTTGGCCTATGTCGAATTTAAGCCACCTGAGGTGCACTTTTGATCACGATTTTGGTCCCCCGAAGCATGCCATTTTACATGTGTTTTCACACGTCATTTATTTTACATGTGGGATGCTCGTTTTGCCCAGTAGCTCAACAGTCATGTCTCATACCATGTACGACTGCAGCTGTGCTCATCAGTGAGAAAAGTTTTCATGGTAGCGGAGCCACGGGAAAGCCCGAGGCTTCGTCACACGTGTAGGCTTTCGGGTTTGCGTTCCGGGAGCCAGAGTGGGAATCGTTTCTCTGCTTTGTGTTGCTTGGGGTGAGTTGGAAAGAGCCCGTAGGCTGCAGTCCCTGGTTGGCCAATAGAGCCACCGGAAGGAGCCATAGCGTCCTGTGCTTCCGCGTGAGCGGTGTGGGTCAGAGGTACGGAGGCGTCCTCCTACCTTGCTACCCAAGCTCAGTGTGTTGAGTTGTGGGACGAGCCCAGGGTTCTTGACAAGCTTCGCAAAGCTGTGATCGAGTGGTATATAGAGTATCAGGTTGGCAAGCCCTGTACTCCTTCTTTGTCCCTCTTGAGCTTCGAGAGACGTCAGATTCTCACTAGAAAGAAGAAGCAAGCTGAGCTGAAGGAAATCAGCGCTGCCGTTGAGATCTTTGCTTACGGCTGCAAACTGTTGAGTGTCGACAAAGATTTGCTTGAAGCATTTGTGTCAGCTGCCTTTTGCATCTTGACTGTTGAGCCTCAGCGCATTTTGCGTGAGAGGTCAGGTGAAGCTGAGTCATCCAGTTTCAACAGAAATCTTGGTCCTTCTGGAGTGGACTTTCAGTTAGATTGTGGAGCTGAGTCATCCAGTTTCAGCAGAAATCTTGGTCCTTCTGGAGTGGTGGTAGATTTATTCAGTGACAGCGACGAGAGCATCAGGTCAGAGGTCGATTGGGAGTGATGACCGACACTCCATCTGCTCATCAGGGAGCCGTGCCTCCACCCATGAGTCCAGCGAACAGTCCCACAGGATCAGTTGCTGCAGGTGAGGCGCGTCTCCTTGAGATCTTGACAGGTATGCAACAGAATCAGCAAGTGTTGACAGAAATTCTTCGTAGCCAACAGGAAGGCCGCGAATCCTCGTCTTCCTCAGGCCTTGCAGCAAGGGACCTCAGCAAAGTGTTGAAGCATCCTACTTCCTTCTCGTGTCAGACACGAGATGAAGAGCTGGTGAAGTGGCCATCCTGGGCATGGGAGTTTGAACAGTACTTAGGCACCCTAGACAAGTCATTCCAGGTTGACTTCAAGCGTTTGAAGGATAATGCCAAAACTGTTGTGGATTTTTCGGTTTTGACAGAAACTGAGAAGGACAGGTCGCGCATCATGTATGGCTTGTTAGCCTCGCTGCTCAACGATCGCTTGAAGCGGTTGCTGAAGACCGTGGGTGACAACAACGGCTACGAGGCTTACCGCCTCATCTCTTTGGAGCTTCGTCCGTCTAGCAGGACCCGAGCCCTAGCGCTCATGCAGACCATTCATAACTGGCCTGTTTTCGACAGCAAGCAAGGACTCTTGGCCCAGGTTGTTAGGCTGGAGCAGGCGATGGCTGAGTACGACTCGATTGCATCGCAAGCCATGTCTGATGACCAAAGGGTCGTGTCGCTTCTGCGGTGTTTGACGGGGCAACTCCGTCAACACGTGAATCTCACCATGGAAGATTCTTGGAGCTATGCTGAGCTTCGCAGCCTAGTTGCCCGCTACGATGCTTCTTCGTCGAAGTGGGGAGCGTCAGTTGCAGCGGCCTACGGCTTGACAGAAGGGAAAGGAGGTGTGCTGATCAACGCAGCCCCGGCTTCATCCGAAGCTGTTCCTATGGAGATTGACAGATTGTCTAAGGGAAAGCCAAAAGGAGGTAAAGACAACAAGGGCAAACCTAAAGGCAAGTTTGACAAAAGCAAAAAGGGAAAAGGTGACACCAAGGGTAAGAAAGGGGATAAGTCAAAGCCCTACAGCCCAAACCCTAATCCTGCTGCTAACAAGACTTGCCACAACTGTGGCCCAAAGGCCACTTTGCCCGGGACTGTCGTCAGAGCCGTGTTCGTCAGGTCGAGGAAGCCACTGATGGAGGTGCGTCAGCATCTACCGATGCTGTGCCTAAGCCAAAGCCTGCTGCAAAGCCTCAGCCTGCTGCTAAGGCCCATGTTAGGCGTGTTGCATACAACCTCGACGACTACGATGAGGCACCCTTCGGTGAGATTCGTGTGGTGTCAAAGCGTGATGTTTGTGAGCATGGCAACCCCGGTGATGAAGGTGAGGAGGTGAAGTCAGACGGAGCCTTTAGTTCCGTTTGCAAGGCATTGAGCGTTTGTGCAAGGACTTTGCAGTCGAGGTGGTGTGTTTCCCATAATGCATCGCCGAGTGACGCAAGTGATGAGACTGAGCATGCTGAGGGCATGTGTCAGCAGTGTGTCAATGAGGCTGAGCATGCTAAGGGCATGTGTCAGCAGTGTGCCGCCGATCCTGCTGTTTACAGTGCTGGCAGTGTGCGCATGATCCGGAGTGCGCATGATGCACATGAAGGCATCGAGATAGAAGTCATTGTTGACTCAGGTGCCGACGCTTCTTGTTTACCACAAAGCCTCAGTACGGCAGGCGTGTGCTCTGGAAGCCCTGTAGAGTTCTTCCAGGATGCACAAGGGAACCCCTTGATGGTTCATGGGACCAGACGAGCCGAGCTCAGCTTCGGCAATCAGCCATCCATCACCGAGACCTTTTTGGTTGCCCCTCACATCACCACACCCCTACTTGCCGTGGGTAAGCTGTATAGAGCAGGTTTCAGTATGCAAAATGAGAATGGCAACATGAGCCTTCGCAGCCCGAGTGGGGATATCAATATCCCTCTGTACCTGAAGCAAAACAGCCTTGCAGCAAAGCTCTATGTGCGTGTCATTCGACAGGACCCTGCCACCGTGAGGGCCCTGACCTGTACCGTCGGAACCTTATCGCTGCTTGATTACTTTGTGCAGATCAGCGCAGACGTGTTTGGCATGCATGGATACGGCAACCGCTTTGTCGACATTACGATGGCCTTGCCTCAAGAAGGCTGTAGCTTCAGGACAACAATTGTCAAAGCACCAGACTCAGATGAATGGGAAATTCTTGAGTGGTGTGAGAGCATCGTTAATGTAGATGAGCTTAGTGCCCTACTGCCTGGTGGTGGAAGCCGCGAGATGATTGTGTTTGCAACCCGCAGAGTTGTGCCTCCTGAGGAGCTTGGTGTGATGATTGGTGAGGGTGAAGGTGAGCCTCCCAGTCCTGGTTCGCTTCCTACCCCTCCGGCAGAAGATGCTGACATGTTGGAGTCAGAGCAGCAACAACACGGTGCAGCAGCACCAGATCAACAAGCTGAGCTGGAGGTCGATGGAGCCCTGCATGATGAGGCACCTGTTGCTGATGACGGAAGCCTTGTGGTCGATGGAACGACCCTCAGTATGGACTCCACCCTTGCAGTCCTCAGGCAGGCAGCTCAGTCATTAGGCCTTGGCCGCAGTGGCGGGAAATCTACCGTGCTCAAGCGAATCAAGGATCACTTGACTCGCCAAAGTCTGATAGCTGCCCACCAGGCAAGGCAGCATTTGGCAGATTCTGAGGAACGTGTTCCAGTTGAGCAACGCCCCGTTACTGCACCGAGCGACGAGGAACGTCGCCGGCACTGCCTGACGCACACCCCGTACCGCGAGTGGTGCGAACATTGCGTGTCTTTCAGGGCACGCTCTGACAGGCATGAGGTGCGTGCTGATGACAGGCGTGCCAGTTCCGTCCTCTGCTTCGATTTCTCGTATACCAGCAGAAGTGACAAGGATGAGAAGTTGTGCTGTTTGGTTGCCCATGATTCAGAGACTAAGTGGGTGCAAGCTTGGCCGGTTCAGAGCAAGGGTGGCACAGCGTCGAGGAACTTTATGGCCGTTGAGGTAACTAAGCTCCTCTCCTACTTAGGTCACCGACGGGTCACCCTGCGAGCCGACCCTGAGCCTTCTTGTACTGCCCTGGCCAACGCCATTCAAGCCCTGAGGCATCGTATCGGCATGGAAACGCACATTGAGCAGACCCCTGCGGGTGAGCACCAGAGCAACCACGCAGAGGGCGCTATCGAGCGCATCCGTCAGCTTGTTGGGACAGTCCTTGCTGAGTTGGAGGACAAACTGCAGGTCAAGATCAAGACCTTTGATCCCCTTCACCACTGGTGCTGGCGTCACGCAGGCTGGATTCTGCAGCGCTTTGGCGTGACTCAGAACTTGACACCTTGGGAGAGAGTTCATGCTGCACCGTATGGGGGGAAACTGGTTCGTTTTGCTGAGTGTGTCCTAGCCCGTGTAAAGACAGCGACTAAGGGCAAGCCACGGTGGCTCAGAGCCATGTGGCTGGGCAAATCCGATGTTTCGGACTGCCACCTCGTGTGCACCTCTTCAGGCCGTCTTGTTGTTGCTAGATCTGTAAGAAGAACCACATGTGCCTATGATCCGAGCCTTGTGGGAGCTTTACGAGACACTCCTGATCAACACGTGTCATTCCTGGCCGGACGTGTTGGGGCAAGCCGTAACCAGCTTCGCCCGAAGCCTGTTGAGAGTGAGAATCTTGGAAGCGGAAGTGAGGTTCTTGCAAGCGACCCGCCATCTGAGAATGAGGATGTCATTGAAAGCCCGCATGACATTGCTCCTGCGCCTTCTTCGGTCAGGCTGCCTTCCGAGGCTGCACCAAGGCTTCCCCCAGCTCCTGTGCATGTGCCGCCGCCAGAGAGCGCTTTGTCAACGAGTGGACCAAGGGAGCCTGAGACACCAATCCCAAACCCTAGTTTAGGTTTAGGCCTCGGTCCCGGCCAGCCTGTGACTCCTGAGGGTGGTATAGGTGAACCCATCTTTGGTGATGAAGCTGATGTTGGGATGAGTGAAGCAGCACCTCTGCCTGACCTTGCAAGTTCATCTGATCATGATCGGTCAGATTCGAAGCGCCAAAGGATTCGTGCGGTGAATGCCCATCACCACAGTGATGAGGTTGTGTGCTTAGAGGACCTCGATTTGGGGTCTAATGCAGACCTCGAGGATGTCGTTGATGAGCCACTTGAACAGCCCTCGGCTGGAAACTTCGAAGATGCCAGTAACATTCCGAAGGAGCTCTGGAGGCCTTTTGGGGCCGGTGAACCTCAACTTGCCAAAGATGAGTTAGCCCTCATCGATGGCATTGCTGAGTCATTCGAGCTCTCTAGGCTTGAGTCGATGGGCGTACTTGAGCGCCTACCATCGGGTGCTGACCTTTCCGGGTATAAGCGCCTCAGTACCAAGATGGTTAAAAGCTGGCGAATCAAGCCATCCCCAACCGGAGGTGGTGAAGCGTTTCTTCGCCGTGCCAGATTTGTGGCACGTGAATTCAAGTGGTTGAGCAACATGGTTGATAGTGAGGTTTTCGCTCCTGCATCCTCCAATGCCCTTCTGCGTGTGCTTCCAGCCATTTTGGTTGCGAATCAACATGAGCATTGGATTGCTCTGTCACTTGATGTGGCAGACGCTTACCTGACTGTTCCCCAGACTGTCAGCACGATCGTGTCAATATGGGTGCAAGGAGAGCAAAGATTCTATCGCCTCCTCAGAAACCTCCCCGGCCAACGGGCTGGAGCCAAGGACTGGTTTGATTCATTCCAGTCCTATCTCATTGAGAAGTTGTCCATCGACCCACTCGTCGAAGCACCAGCCCTGTTCCGCATCCCGGGAACCAGTGATGAGGGAAATGGCGGGGGAGGCGGGGGTTTGTGCCATGTGGATGACCTGTTTGCAGTTGGAGCGCGACCCACCATGCATCGCTTAGGCGACTGTGTCAGAGCAAGGTATAAGTGCACCATTGCATTCTTGCAAGGAGCTGATGAGGACATCAGTTTTCTCAAGAGGAAACATCAATGGGTGCAGAATGGCGTTCTGGCCATCATTCCGAATCCCAAACATGTTGAAGGTTTAGCAGTGTTGCTAGGGGTGTGTGCCCAACGTCCCAAGGACAGTCCTCTCCCTACAGGTGGAACCCTTCCTTTGTGGACACAGCTTGCATTGCTTGACGAGACCAAGTCAGGGATTTATCGGAAATGCATAGGAGTTCTCTTGTATGTTTCCAGCGACTACCCTGCAGCCCAGTTTGCAATCAAGACTTTGAGCAGCTTGTGTGGAAAGCCTAATGAAGGGGCATGGAAGTGTTTGCGTCATTTAGTAAACTACATGTTTTATCATGACAATCACATTTCTTGCTTGAAGACGGAAGGAAAAGGTATAGGCCTAGTTGTCCGTGACGAGGCCCATGCTCTTGAGGTCTTTGCAGACGCTGACTGGGCAGGGAACAAATCAAGTCGCAAAAGCACGAGTGCTGGATGTATCGCATTCAATGGGATGATGATCCACAGTTTCTCGCGCAGCCAAAGCTGCATCAGCCTCTCCTCTGGGGAGAGTGAGTACGTAGCTTGTGTCAGTGCCGTGTGTGACGGTATACTTCTGCGCATGGCCCTCCAGCACGTTTTGCAAGAGGATGTGAGCATGCATGTTTTCACTGATTCAAGCGCTGCGCGTGGGATCATGTCGAGACAAGGATGTGGCCGCCTACGCCACATATCTGGTCGCCTCCTATGGCTGCAGGATTTTCTTTTCAAGTGGAAGAAAGCATCCCTTCATGCAGTGCCTACTTCAACCAACCCCGCAGACTTGTTTACCAAGTCATTGTCAGGTACCCGCATACGCTGCCTGAGCAACATCATTGGCATCAGGGATGCCAGTGACAGTTTTTCTTTGGTTGGAGCTGCTGAGCTTGAGGAGCAGCGGCGTCGTGACCAGGCTAAGAAGTTTCTTCGTGCGGTGAAGAGCACAGGCCGTGGAAATGCCGAAGCATTGCAGTTGCTTACAATGCTTATTCAGCTGGTTGGAAGCAAGGCTGCGGTTGGAGATGATCGAGCACAGTTTGAACCCCTGCATGTTTCAGTGTCTGATTTCACTACGTCAGGATCCAGTGCAGGAAGCCAACCAGGCGTCAGCTTTGTGTTCTTTGCTGTGACGGCAGGCATTGCAATCATTGTTGGCCGAGTCATTGCCAACATGACAGTGCGAGCACTCTTGCAACAGGTTGTTCTAGGTGCCTTTAGGGTTTTAGTCCAAGCGGGTGGTTTCGTTAGGCTTGAGACGACGGAGGCCGAGCAACCTTTGCTTGAAGAGTTACCTGTGGAGCAACCCCGTGCGCCTCTCCATGGGGCAGACGACGCATCCTCGAACGACGATGACGACATGAGTCTTGGACCACGCGACCCGCGTGAGCGTGCAGCGATCCTTGGAATCACGCCGCCGCAGACGCCGCCTGAATCTGATGATTCCTCTGAGCAACCCGACTCAGAGCCAAGGGACTATGGTCCAGATGATGATGGCAATCAAGAGCTTGTGGAGCTCTTTGCAGCGGTTGGAGAAGCTGCAGCTGCTGAGGTACTGCCAGCTTTGCCTCTTGAGCCACTTCAGATCAGGGATGATGCTGATGTTTGGATTGCGCCGATTAGTGGAACCAGGTTCCATCTTCGTGCAGTGTGCCATGGCTTGAGGCAAGCAAGTCGCATCAGGCGGCTCACCTATCGCCAGATGCAGAATGATTATCCTGGAAGGTTCGACATGTGCTACTACTGCCAAGAGTGGACGCGAGAACTTGCTGATGCGCATGATGTTGGAACGTTGGCCACCATGTTCCGTTTCCTTCATTTCCCAGGTCAGCAAATGCAGCAGCGCCGCCAGGTGCTGCCAGAGCCAGAGGCACATGACGACACGTGAGTATGAGCCCAATGACAATGATGGATTCTTGATATTTGCATGTGTGTTTAAATGATGGAATTTATTGGTGATTTCTTGAAATGCTCATGATGACTCTTGTGGATGCAGTTGCGACTGGTACCACTTTACCTGTCGAGCGTCTTGACAGATTTCTTGAAATGCCGACTCACAGACGCGGATCTCTAAGAGATCGTTCAAATTACTACATTATGCAAATCGCCGGAAGCTTGTAGCCTCTCCTTTGAAGATCATCAGCTGATGATTGTGACAACCTTGCAACTTACGGAGTGTGCAAGAAGCCGTGGCTTTGGGCCACCGAAACGCCGAAGGTCAAAGGTTAGGAGGTGCATGCGTGCTTGTACAAAGCCCATCAAAACGATGGCGGCCCTGGAGTGCGGTATGTCCGCCCATGGCAAGAACAAAGAGCGCTGAACCGTGCTTGCTGGTGTGAGGCTTGTTGGCTGTTTTGCGCTGGGCATGTACATTATAGGAGATCCCACAAATCGTTAGGAAAGCATGCTTTGTGATGCGACAAACCATTCTTTGGCGGGGTGATCACGATTTTGGTCCCCCGAAGCATGCCATTTTACATGTGTTTTCACACGTCATTTATTTTACATGTGGGATGCTCGTTTTGCCCAGTAGCTCAACAGTCATGTCTCATACCATGTACGACTGCAGCTGTGCTCATCAGTGAGAAAAGTTTTCAACTTTATGCATGGCAGGTCGGATCCACTGCTGATCTCTCTGAGCCTCCTTATTTGTATGGCAGCGCTGTTTTCGGGCTGAGGGCTGATGGCCTTTGCAGATCCTGTGACCATGAGTATGGTCAATCCGTGCATGACATGCTTTTAGTCTTGATGCTCTGGTTTATTGGCCATGATTCGGTTGACTTGCTTTTCATACCGCACTTGCTAACTGGATGACCATACTCATCTTCCAAGTGGACGGCATACTGAGTTTATTTCGGTTGATGAGACCAATCGTCTTTCTGATAATCTTTTATCATGATTGTACTTCTACCCTCTTCTCACGTCCACTTGCTTGCACGCGCCAGCAACACCTCATGAATACTGAGAGACTTTTCTTATGCCGATTGACGGTAATCCGGTTGTGGCGCTCTGATCCAGTGGGATTTTACCTTTATGTTGGCACCCCTACCTAGACTGATTCCCCTTTCTTCGTCAGTATTGCCTTATGCTTATGCAACCGGATGTCCCGCCTGATTTGTAATGCCGTCATCTCTGAGTATTCCAAAACTTGCATGCTGCTCCTGTCTGACTTGTATGGGGTGCTCAGTGGCCTAGTCATACAGGTTGTATGCTTTATTCTTATTCTCGACCTTTGATGGTCTGCACATGCAAGTGACACATCTCTCAGTGCTGAGATCCTTTTCAGTAGCTGATGACTGTACTTCCTGTTGCAGTTATTCAGCGAGCTTTGCAACTGGAGGTTTATTTATGGGCTGCCATCCTTGACTTGTAAGGCTGCCACCTCCACGTGAGCTATGCGTGTGCACTCCTAAACATGACCTGTCAGGAGTGATTGGATCGTCTGACTTGTAAATCTGGATCAGTGGCTTAAACATGGTTACTTGTTGGCGGTACGGATGGTTGTGTTATATCACTCTGATTCGTTCGTCTTGTTTTTCTATTAAACCACTGTTCTACGATCATGTTGCATGGTTCGACACCATGCCCTTTAACAGCCAGGTTTTTGCTGAGAAGAGTGCTTGAACTCTTTCTATGCTGCGAAGAACACTTGGACTTGGTCTGAGTTGGCTCTCGCTGATTTGTAATGGGCTGACATGCCTTTGTCTCACGGCTTATGCATTGTTAGTCCTTGATCTTATCTACCCCTCCAATGATTATGTTACTTTATCTGTGGGTCTCCTATGCATATGCATTGTGA